ATCTCGTTATTTATCAACTGCGTCACGATCAATTTGAGGAGGCGTACGAGTTGATCAAAGATCTTGAGCCTGTTTCTACGCCTGAGTACATTCTAAAAGGCGTCGTGAATGCCTTAATTGGACAAAAACTTGACTCGGAGGAGCATCTGAAGATTACGCGGGAGTATTTCAATCTCATAGGCACTGCTCAGTCTGAGTGCGACACCATTCCCGGGCGACAGTGCATGGCCTCATACTTCTTTTTGCTCCGTGACTTTCCAAATGTTCTTCTTTACTTACGCTCCATCAAACCCTACTTTTTAAACGATGATACATTCCTATATCTGTATGGCATTGCCTGTGCGGGGACCGGGAATTTCTCGGAAGCGGAAGAATCCCTCACGGCGGTTCGCTCCGAAAAAATTAGGGCGGAATTCAGCTACACAAGTTGGCTAATGCGATCTCACATCATGAACAATCATGCAAAGCGGGCATGGGATATTTATCTGAAAATGGAGACAAGCGCCGAATCCTTTAATGTCTTGCAGCTCATGGCAAATGACTGTTATAAGGTTTGTGCGTTTTACTATGCTGCCAAGGCATTTGACGTTCTCGAACGCCTTGACAATGCCCCTGAGTACGTTGAGGGTAAAAAAGGAGCTTGCATTGGTGTCTTTCAACAGGTTTTTGCGAATCAAGAGCCTGTGGACTCGCTCTTTGATGTTGTGAAGATGTTGGAGTCAAGTGTGCAACAGCACGCCAGCGAGCCACAGGTTTCGCAGCAGTTTGAAAGCATACTGAAGGTGATGAAGGATTGGCTCAAGGAGAGCAAACTCAAGCGCAAGTAGAGAGTCCGCCAGACAAATGAAGGTGCTGTGCGGCAGTGGTGCTGGGGACGAAGGGAGAAAAAAAAAAAAAAAAGAAAGAAACAACGGCAAAGCAATGGCAGACAGAAGGGGAGGGGGGAAAAGAAGGGGGAAAAGGCGGATGATAGAAGGGGGGAAGGGGGGCATATTAATAGCGCCAAAGTGGAATTATTAATGCACCCCAACATGAGTCTCTTTCCCATCACACGTGAAAAGGAGAGATTTACAATTTATTTTTATGAAACAGGTTTATTATTATTATTATTTTTCCCTTTGTTCTGTTTATTATTATTTATTTTTGTTTGTTTGCTTGTTTTTTTTTTTTTTTTTTTTTTGTTTGTTTGTCTTTTTGCTCGTTTCTTTTTTCTCCCCCCACGTCCACGTTTATATGCGTGACTGATTTTTATGGATGTTTATTTAGCTGAGAAAAGAAAAAGAATGCGCATATGACAAATGATAGAGCTGAGGTGAATGCATGGATGAATTATGGCTGTTTTTTTTTTTTTTAATTTAATTTTATTTTTTTGCCGAATAGGGGAGGGGAATGATTAGACATGGCCTTTTTGATGCCACAGCGACACTGGTGCCATCAGCGGATGTACTGAAGGCCATGCACGCATTATATTGGCGTGGTGGCTTCCTTGGTACCTGCGTTGCGGTGTTGCCACGTGTTTTGGTGACAGCAGGCCATCACTTTAACGCTGTCAAGGATGACGTTGGCGATTTTACTATTCGACAACCGGATATGACAGAGGCTCACGTTGAACATGCGTTGAAGAATGGAGCCAATGACATTCTTGTTCTGTGGGTCGATAGGGAACTGGAACATATTCCTCTGCGCGGTTTTCTTCCCCCAATGCAGGCGCGTGTGGCCACCGTGTGGCTCTCGACAAAGTGGCCGCACGAGACAATTGTGTCGCCAGGGATTGTGGTTGAAAGCGGTTTGCTTAACTGCGTGGCACGCGGAACCGTCAGCACCAGCGGCTCCAGTGGTGCGCCTGTGATTGATCACTTTGGGGATCACGTTGTGGGTATGCATCTCACGTCTAACACTCGCGATGGTTCTCGAGTGTCTGGATTTATTCCAGCGCGTAAGATTATTTCTGTTCTTGCCGAAATGGGTGTCAGCTGCCGTGTGCTCTAACGTCGCGTGTGAGGGAGAAGAAAACGTTTCCAGTGCGCTTTTTCCTCTGTTGCTCCACACATTCTCTTGAAAAAGCACGAAAAAAAAAAAAAAAAAAAGGAGGCATACTGTTGAGTTTGAATGATTGTGTTTCAATGGAGGGGAGTAATAGCAACGAAACAACAACAACAACAACAAAAAAGTACTGCGAATTGTTCACTTTGGAAGATTTTTTTTTCCTTTTTATATATTTTTTTTTTGATGAGTTTTATTTTGGTTTTAGTTTCTACGCACAGGTTTGGAAGCATTCCTCTCAGTGCGTGTGTGTTTGGTTTGCTTCTGTTTTGTGTAGTGGGTTGAATAGGATGTCTTCTGCGGACATAACTGCCATGTACGGTGTGAGGGAGGATGTGGGAGTTCCATTCTACATCTCTTCCTCGGAGCTAATTGCCGGGAGCGTCGCCGGCTTTGTGGAGCACTTTGCCATGTTTCCATTTGACACGATCAAGACTAGAATACAGAGTGGGAGCTCACCAAACATCGCATCCGCCCTTCGTCAGGTGTTTCGTAGCGAGCCTCTCACGCACCTCTACCGTGGTGTTTTTCCCATTCTTGTGTCCGCTGTTCCTTCGCACGGAGCGTACTTTGGCTCATATGAGTCGGCCAAGCGTGCTTTTGGAGAGGATTCAAATGCATCGATCCTGATATCCTCGAGTTGTGCGGCGGCGGCCCACGACACGATCGCCACCCCTTTTGATGTTGTGAAGCAGCGGATGCAGATGGACAATGGAGGGCGATTCACTTCTTCTTTGCGGTGTGCGCGTTACGTTTTTGAAGAGAATGGGCTCCGGGTATTTTTTGTTTCGTTGCCCACAACAATATTGATGAATGTGCCACACGTTGCGACGTACTGGACGGTGTACGAGGGATTCCTCGCTTTTCTGGGTGGTGGGCGCCGCGACAAGGAGAACGAGCTTGCGGTGGAGTATGTGGCAGCCGCCCTCTTAGCCGGCACCATGGCATCAGTAGTCTCTTCCCCGTTGGATGTTGCCAAGACGCATCTACAGCTTGGGAATGAATCACGTTTTTTGGCGGTCTTACGAAATATTGCTCTAAACCGTGGTGTGCGTGGATTTTTTGCTGGCGTTTCTGCGAGAATTATACACACGGCTTCCTCAGGCGCACTGATGATGATTACTTACGAGATGACAAAGAAAGCCATGGAGCGTTGGTAATATTTTTATACATGCGATCCCACTTACTTGTATTCACAATGTTTTGACATATGAAGCGAAATCCTTGCCAATATTTTTTACTTTTCTTCAACAACAACAGCAAGAAAGAAAAAGAAACCAGGTGTTTAATAAACAGGCAAAACACCATCGAAAATGATACACGGAGAAGACGATAACACATTTGCCTAAGGATTTTCATGCTTATTTGAAGGGTGGTTTTGAGGCTCGCGGACCGTGAGTCTGAACTCCATGCTAAGTGAGAAACGGTGCCGTAAATAACTCGTTTATTTTTTGTTTGTTTTGCTTCCTTGCATTTTTTCCTTTTTTTTTTTCTTTGAAATTTCCTTCTGACGAAGGGACTGTCGGTGTGTAGACGCCCATGAGTGGCTCCCAGGCACTCCGCCGTATTCTCTACGTTGATGCAGAAGATGGATCTGTTGCCCGTCGTGGCTATCATTTTGGTGGGGCCTATGAGCCGCTTTTGTACTCAACAATGCTCGAACAGCCTGCAGGGCTGCAGCCACGTAGCGGTTTTCGTGTAGCTTGCGCCTGTTTGGCCGGCTGCTTCTTTGGATGCCTGACAATGAAGGCAAGGAACATGGAGCGGTGGTGGTTAGGACTGTTCTTTATGTGCGGTATGTATTACAATGCCGTGAAGGCGCACAAAGTGAACAATGGTTTAGTTGGACATCAATGTGGATTTTTTGCCGCAGGGATGGGCGTTTTGGGGTGTGGCTGCCGTTTAGCCGTGCATGCAGGAAGCGCCAAAATGAACAGACGACTTCTTTTTTTATTCGCCAGCCTTATGTGGTATGAAGTTGGCCGGTACCACATGTGGGCGGAACACGTTTCGGAATTTCGACGTGAAATCACACCAGAGCGGTCATATGATCTTTTGGCGGAATTTGTTCCACAAGAGATTGAGACCGAATTTCTTCCGTATCGTTCCGTGTCGTCAGAATAAAATGACAGTACTGAATCCATTGGCATCGTTAGTTGTTTACATGCTCAGGGCTAGATTCTCCTCTTGGACTAATGAATCTGGCTGCATGGTCGTTGTTTTTTTTCTTTTGTGTGTAACGTTTTCTCTCCAATTGGTGTGGAGGAAAAGCATTGTCGTTAATTCCCCGTTTTCTTTTTTTGTTATTGTTTTTGGTCTGTCTGCTCCTTTTTTTTTTTTTTTTGCTCTGGAGGAGAATTGAGGAAAGGGACCGAAAGAGACCTTTAGAGAATTGTTGTCTGTTTCTCCGTGTAACTGTACTTCTGTGTGGAAGATGCCAAAGGCCGTTATTTTGGATCAGGATGGTAATCACGATGACATCATTTCTCTGGCACTACTGCTAGCGCGGCCAGAGAAGGTACGTGTCATTGGCTGCATCTGCACAGATGCCGATTGTTTTGTTGCTGATGCATTCAACATCACCGGGAAACTGATGTGCCTTTTAAACAAGCGTGCAAACCGGCCTCTTTTTCCCATTGGCATTTCGTCTTTACATGGCGTGAATCCGTTTCCGATGGAGTGGCGCTGTACTGCGAAAAACATGGATGATTTGCCCTCTCTGAACATTCCTGAGCACACTGAGATGTGGGAGAAGTTGAAGCCAGAGTATGAAAAACTCGTGGGTGAGGAGTTGCTTGCGGATCTGGTGATGAATTCGCCGGAAAAGGTAACGATATGTGTGACCGGACCACTCTCCAATGTGGCGTGGTGTATAGATAAGTATGGGAGACGCTTTACAGACAAGGTGGAGGAATGTGTCATTATGGGTGGCGCTGTGGATGTCGGTGGCAATGTTTTTCTCCCGGGCACTGACGGGACGGCAGAATGGAACATTTATTGGGATCCACCAGCAGCGAAGGCGGTGCTGGAATGCCCTCATATACGCAATGTTCTCTTCTCACTTAATTCGACGAATGCCGTTCCTGTATGCTCATCTCTTGTGAAGCGCTTTGGTGCCCAAAATGAGTACTTGCTTTCGCAATTTGTGGGGTCCACCTGGGCCATGTGCACGCACCATGAGCTTCTTCGCCCAGGCGATGGCTACTATGCCTGGGATTCTCTGACTGCCGCCTACGTAATTGACAACAATTTGGCAGATCTTGAGCCGATGACGCTGGAGGTAGAGATTAATAAAACAAAGGACGAGGGGCGCACGTTTCGTTCGACGCAAGGACGTACTTGTACATATGTTGCCAAGAACACCAATGCAGAATTATTTTATGACATGGTGCTTTCCAGTATGCGTATTTGCTGATAATTCACGGGGAAAGAGACATGTGGGGAGGGGGGGTCATAAGAATGAAAAAAGAAAAGGAAGGAGATTCACTTTTTTAAAGGAGACAACGTACGATTGAATAAAGACATGGTTTATTTTTGCTTTCATTTTTTGAAACGTTGAAATGAGGGGAGCGTGCTTTTATTTGGAAGAGTTGAATTGCCGATGACACGTGGAAAGGAAGAAAAAAAAAAGAAAAAAAAAACACAAAACACAATTGGGGAGAAGAGTTGAAGAATGACAAATAGCTGTACATAGCACCCGATGTTTTGGTTGGAAGCGGGTGGCTGAGGGGAGTGAAACGCGCTTCGATTGTGTCCAGCGTTCTTCCAGCCAGTCCTTTGCTTTACAAACTGCCTGCTGCCTTCTTTTTGTGTAGATCCCTTTCAATGTCCCTTTCTTTTCTTTTTGGTCTTTTTGGCGTGGGAGGTGCCTTCTCCTATCGCTCTCCTGCACAACGCAGCAACGAAGAAGCAGCAGCAGCAGCAGCAGTAACACCAACAGCGAAAGAAAAAAAAAGGGGGGCATAAAAACGGATGAGCGAAGTAACGAACACAACGGAAATAAGCCAGAGGGATGTGCTATTCACGGAGTCGTCAGGTGCCGATCGCGTGTATGAGGTTGCGAAATACGGTGGTGAAGTGGAAAGTTACTTGTACAGGTACAAAACGAAGGGCCGACGGTCATTTTTGCAGGATCAAACGACGGCATCGACATTTCTACCGCGTATTCTACCAAGGGGCTTTCCGTATGTTGCCAACTTTATCTCCTTTGAAGAGCTTGTGAAGCGGGGAACGATACAATCCTGCAGTCAGGAGGAAGTGGACTTTTCCGTCAAGGATCTCCAATTGCTTTACGAGTCAAAATGTATGGATCAGGACCTGCTGCCGTCATGGGAACGCGAGATGCGCTTTATGGAACTTATCAGCGCCAACTGCAGAGGTAAGTTTTTTTGTTTGAAGGAGAGTGGGTTTGGTCCGATGTGTGCTGAGGCTATTGCACACATCTTGTCCAATAACAGAAAATACACCGTTCTTGATTTGAGTGGAAATCGGTTACGGGATGAAGGGGCCTGTTCCATCGCCAAATTAATCAGGATCAACAGGACCATTGTTCATGTGGGTCTTCGATCCAACGATATTGGTCACATTGGAGGAGTGGCTCTGGCCAGGGCACTTCTTGAAAATAACACTGTGGTCTCGCTTGACTTGGGTGCTCATTCTGGCATTAATGGGAATCACATTGCAACGGAAGGCGCAGAGGCAATTGGGGTCATGCTTCGTGCAAACAAGGTT